GTGTTAGTTAGCTTTTTTTTTGTCACAATGATTAAAAGACCTAACAAGAACAACATAGAGGAGGGAACGTTTATTTGGGGCTCATGGTTTCAGAGGTCTCAGTCCATAGATGCCTGACTCCAGACCTCTGGGCTCAAGGTGAGGCAGAACATCATTTCAAAAGATTATGGCAAAGGAAAGCAGCTCAGGACATGGAACAGGAAGTAGAGAGAGGTCTGCTCATCAGGGACAAAATATATACTCCAAAGGCAGATCCCCAGTGACCTACTTCCTCCAGCCACAACCTACCTCCCAGTTAATCCATATCAGTGGACTCAGTCATTGATTAGGTTATACCTCTCATAAACTAATCACCTCTGAACATTTTTGGCATTGTCTCACACATGAGCTTTTGGAGGACACCACGTATCTAAACTATAGTAGGTGGCACTGGGTATTGGACCCATGGGCACTCTATCACTAAGCCATATCCCCAGCCCACCCATTCATCTATCTATTTATGTATCTATCTATGTATCTATCTTGATACAGGGTCTCACTAAGTTGCTGAGGCTAGTCTTAAACTTATTATCTTCCTGCATCAGCCTCTCAAGTCACTAGAATTACAGGAAGTGGCACAGCACCCAGCTTCTATTTTCTTAACTCTGAACTTGAAGGCAGTTTTTGGACAACAGCACATATAATTTGGAAAATATCTAAAACACCTGGAAAACTTTGAGAAAGAGGTAAGACAAGGTATATGTCTTCAAAGAACTTGGGATACAATGTCGGGGTGGGAAGGTTGGGAGCAAATGAACAAAACACAAATGAGTATAGTTCTAGGCATGTGTGCCATAATCTCTGTAGAAATCAAATATAAGAATGTGAGAGAAGGAGAGAGAAATTTTAAAAAACGTTTTAGTTGTTGATGGAACTTTATTTAATTAATTAATTTATATGCAGTGCTGAGAATTGAAGCCAGTGCCTCACACATGCTAGGCAAGTGCTCTACCACTGAGCCACAACCCCAGCCCCAAGATAAGAGAAAATTTGATCAGAGAGAGATCTATATGTTGTAGTCTCTTGATCATTAGAATTATTGATAACATCTAAGTGATAGTTGAAATCATGAGAGTGGATCCTCCAAGGCGGGGAGAGAGGGAACAGAGGTGGTGAAAGAGAAGGGAGGAGAGGAGAAGAATCCCCTTAAGAGAAGGGCCACATTTGGGGAAAGCATGGCAAAATAGAGCCAGGGAAGAAGTCAGACGGAACATCCAGAGGAATAGGAGAAACAGAATAATGCAAAGTCGCAGAAGCCAAAGAAGAGTTTCAGAGAAAAGAGCAAGTCTGGTCTGCAGCGCTGCATTCATTTTGCCCCAGGTGAGGACAGTAGAAGCTCAGGCTGGCGGTTGGGAAATATTGGGAGAGGTCTTTTCCCAAAGTAGCCACTGGGCGGCAGTGGTGGCAGCAGCAGCAGCAGCTGCTGCAGCTGTGTCCAGGGACAAGCAGAAACAAAGCTATCAGGTGAAGGAACTGTAGCAGAGCTAAGAAGGCCTAAAGAAGTAGGAGCAGGAAGCTGGATCAGGCAGAGGCTTTTCTAGTTTGGTGTTTCCTCTTGGCTGTTCACCAAGCCTTGAGTCAGACTTGATCTCCTCTGAAGAGGCCATATTCATCCTTGGGAACAAAGTACTATTTTAAAAGCCTTATGGATTTGTGGCATTTTATGGCTTACAAAGTGTTTCCACACCTATTAACCAATTCATATTCTGAAAACTCCAAAAGGTTCAAATTATTATCCCCAATTCACTGGCGAAGAAAGTAAGTTACAAAGCGGTGCTCATAGTCACATAACTAATAAACAGAACAAAGATTTTTTTTTTTTTTTGTACCAGAGATTGAACCCAGGGATACTCAACCACTGAGCCACATCCCCAGCCCTTTTAAAAATATTTTTATTTAGAGACAGGGTATCACTGAGTTGCTTAGTGCCTCCCTAAATTTCTCAAGCTTCCCAAGCTGCTGGAATTATAGTTGTGTGCCACTACACTCAGCCAGAACAAGGATTTGAACTCAAGTCTTTCTAGCTTGAAAACCTGAGCTTTTAATGCAGTATCACAGCAGTTAGCTGTCCAGAATTCAAGATATGACTATTCTTCCACTCCTACTTTTGTTTGTTTATTTGTTTGTAGTCGGGATGAAACCCAGGGGTACTCTACTCCTGAGCTACATGCAAGGCCTTTGGTGATTTTCTTTTGAGGCAGTGTCAATTGCTGAGGCTAGCCTCAAACATGCAGTCCTCTTGCCTCAGCCTTGTGAGTTTCTGGGATTATAGGCATGTGCCACCTTGCCTACATTTTATCCCATGTGCTACCCTGCCACAGAGCAGGATCTCCAGGTTTTCCCCATCCAGATTCTAGAGCCTCTTTTTCAGGCCTGTCTCCTCCTCTCACTGAGGATCCAGCTGGACAACATTCTTAGGACCTGAGAATCAGGTTCAGAGTCTTCATTACATTCCAGCTGCAATCAGAGTGGCTTCTGCTCCAACCTACTCACCCCTCTCCAAGATCACAGCCCACCTCTTCTTCAGAGTTCTCCAGACTCAGTTTGCACTGAGTGCCTGAGACAACCATGCTTAATGAAGCCTTAGTTAGCTTCAGGAGCCCCAGAACCACAGCTGCTGACAACTCAGTGTTCCTTGGCATTAGGCTCTCAATAATCTAGGCTTCTCTCCATGCCTTTTCCACTGCATTCAGACCAGGGTCTCTGAGAGTGATGAAGAGTGATAAGGCACTGTGGAGGAAGGGGTGGAGTATGTAAGAGAAATTTATTGGCTAGCACCTATAGGGAGGCGTGAACTGCCTCCTTGCCACTTCCTCTTACCTGTGCCATAAGTCTCTCAAACTTAAAAGATGAAAAATGAATTCCCCCTCTTTCTCCAAAATTGCTTTTCTCACAGCCTTACTACAACTGTCAAGAGGACTTCCATTCTTCCAATTGCTTAGGCCAGAAACATTGGAGTTTTTGTCATTCTTTTTTTTTTTCTCTCACACTCCTCATCAGTAAATCTTTCACAGTGCATACAGAATCTGACCACTTCTCACCACCTCTGCCAATCTGGTCTGAGTTACCATCATCTCTATTGCCAACAGCCTCTTGCCTGGTCTTGCCTGTGCCCCCAGCCCTGCTGTCTATTCTTGACATAGAGCTGGCCAGTGAGCCTTCTACCATGTAAGCAAGGATATAGCGATTTCCTCCTCTAAACCCTTAATGGTTTTCCATTCTCTCAGTAAAAGTCAAAGAGTTCTAATAATGGCTTCCAAGGACCTTCATGATCTGGTCCCTGCCAAACTCTGACCTCATCTTCTACATTGCCCCTTCCTCACAGCACCTGGTGTTTATTCAAGTCAGTCCAATATTTAAAACAGCAATTCTCTCTTCCTCTTTTCCTTTCCTATAGCCCCTCGCTCCTTTATTTTTATCTAAAATGATGATTGCAATCTATATATTTTATGTGTTAATTTTATTGCCCTCCCCAGTAACATGCAAGCACATTAAGTTGGGTGTTATTGTATGTTTTGTTCTCTCCTAGTGAACTACCAGTGTCTATAACTGAACCAGGCACATAGAAGGCTCTCAGTAAAAATTTGCTGATACTCTCCCAGATCATGACCAGTAGTAGTTTAGAGGGGCAAATAAGGACAGCAATTATGTCATGGATAGTAGAGTCTCGTCCAAAGGCTCAAATCTTGATTTTACCACCAATTAGCATAATTCTTAAACTATCTACACCTTAGTTTTCTCCCTTGCAAAGTAGGGACAATTATAGAACCTACATCAGAGAGCCTGTGAGGTCATTAATAAGTATGAAGTCCTTAGAACAGTGCTCAGACATAGTAAGGCTATACAAACATTTGTTATAATTATATTCATATGGAGTTAAGATATATATCAGTAGTTTCAGTTTTCTAAAATCTTTCATCCTGTTGTCTTGCAGTTCCCATGTTAAAATTCTTGTCCTATGTTGCTACTCACTTCCACAAACTTATATGATCTTCCTGTAATTTAGTTATCTCTAGTGGCCTGGCTTCTTTCTCATCTGCAAACTTGGATATTTCCTTGTGTACTCGTACCCACAATCATTTCAAAGCTGTTAAATAGTAATCTTGTTGGGCCCCAGTTTCCCAATCTGTATGCTGAGTGGGTTGGACTAGATAAATCTTTAAGGGCCTTTCTATCTCTGACAACCTTTCAGAATGGGACAGGAGGAGAGTCAGGCTCCACCTTGAGCCCCACCCCCTTGGATATGCCCTCTGTCTACCAAGGGGGAAGGATGACAGAGTCAGCTGGGCTCAACTTCAAGGGGAACAGGTAGGAGATTTACCAAAGTTCTTGGGCAAGGGTGGCGATGAGGCTCTTGGGCTGCAGGCAGGTATTGCGGGGAGGTATCAGAGGCAAAGAGAATATAGAGAACTGGAACCAGGGCAAGAGGAGAGGTGAAGACACTGTAGGAAGTGATGCTTCTCTTCACTGGAACACAGCTGTGATGATGAGTTATGAGATAATTTGGGCTTGGGCATCTTCACACTTTGGATAGTACTAGTTGGCTTCCATCCTTTTCAGCTAGCCAAGCTCTATAAGACAGAGTCAGTTGCAAAGTAAGAACAATCCAAGCCCACTGACTGCCCTACTGAGCTGAGTCCCTGCACTGCCTGCTGCTCACCACTCCCTGGGATGGACCATGAAAGCTCCCAGAGGGGCTGGACTGGTCTGAGTTTCACCTGGATGTATGCCCCCCAGCTCTTCCCAGTGCTTCAACCAGTATTCTCCCTATCCTCTGCTTCCCCCCACCATTTCCACATTTTTTACTGGTGCATTATAGTTTTACATAATGATGGCATTTGTTGTTACATATTCTTACATGTACACAATCTGTTTTCTACCTTTTTTGCCCCAGGTCAGAACTGGGAGACCAAGGAAATACAGCTACTCTCATTTCTGCTCTCTCTACCTCTAGGGGGGCCATGGCCAGAACAGAGTCCTCGTTGTTCAGATCTCTAGGCCCAAGCCCAGGTCCTGGAGATGATGAGATGGAGCTGGATTGCTGGTTTGATGAGGAGTTCAAGTTCATTCTGCTACCTGTGAGCTATGCAGTTGTCTTTGTGCTGGGCCTGGGCCTCAATGCCCCAACCCTCTGGCTCTTCCTTTTCCGCCTACGACCCTGGGATGCAACGGCCACCTACATGTTCCACTTGGCATTGTCAGACACCTTGTATGTGCTGTCGCTGCCCACCCTCGTCTACTATTACGCAGCCCGCAACCACTGGCCTTTTGGCACTGGGTTTTGCAAGTTCATCCGCTTTCTCTTCTACTGGAACCTCTACTGCAGTGTGCTGTTCCTTACCTGCATCAGTGTGCACCGCTACCTGGGCATCTGCCACCCACTGCAGGCACTACGTTGGGGCCGCCCTCGTTTCGCAGGCCTCATCTGCCTGGCAGTTTGGTTGGTGGTAGCTGGCTGCCTCGTGCCCAACCTGTTCTTTGTCACAACTAGCATCAGGGGGACCACCATCCTGTGCCATGACACCACTCGACCTGAGGAATTTGACCACTATGTTCACTTCAGTTCAGCAGTCATGGGGCTGCTCTTTGGCTTGCCCTGCCTGGTCACTTTGGTTTGCTATGGGCTCATGGCCCGGCGCCTGTATCGGCCCTTGCCTGGGGCTGCACACTCGTCTTCTCGTCTCCGTTCTCTCCGCACCATCACTGTGGTGCTGACGGTCTTCACAGTCTGCTTTGTGCCTTTCCACATCACTCGTACAATTTATTACCTAGCAAGGCTGTTTGAAGCTGATTGCCAGGTATTGAACATTGTCAACGTAGTCTACAAAGTGACTCGACCCCTGGCCAGTGCTAATAGCTGCCTAGATCCTGTGCTCTACCTGCTTACTGGAGACAAGTATCGACGCCAGTTTTGGCAGCTCTGTAGTGGTGGCAGACCCCAGCCCCCCAGAGCTGCCTCCTCCTTGGCACTGGTATCTCTGCGTGAGAATAGCAGTTGCAGGTGGGCATCCACCCACAGTACAGCAGCTGCCCTCTCCTCAGAGCAGAGTGATTGTAACAATGGAAGCTGGGAAGTGAGACAAAAGGGGGTGAGTGCAGGGCAGAGGTGAGGGAACCCCTAAGTGACAGTTTACAAGGAGCTGCAATTGCCCTCTCCTTCTTAGCTAACGATAGTAGCAGTTGCTCCTCTGCCTGTACTTCTTTTTCTTTATTTCTGTCCCTTCCTGGGCTCACTGGTCCTGTTTCTTGATTCTGCAAGGCTTCCCCAGATCTTTTTTCCCCATGTCCTCCCACAGCATGCATTTCTCCAGCCAGATAGAGCCTTCAACTAGAGGGTGGAGATGGTGGGGTAATCTAAAGATCGGCCTGATTTATCTCATGATGATAGCCAGAGTCAGGAAGTATGGACACTGGCATATCACAGATGCCATATGTGCCACGTGTAGCAACCACACCCACTTCCTGGTTCCCCCTTGAAGACAGGATGGTCTTGCCTACCAAGGTGCCAAAATAGTGTGCAACCCCAGGCAGCCTGCATACCAGGGCCCCACATGCAGCAGGAGGCCTGGCACTATTGAACTGGTAGGCAGTTATGAAGTAGATCCCGGCCATGGGGTGGGGACCCTGAGGAACCTCAAGGGGCAAGGCCCAAGTTGATAACAGTCTTTGGAACTGGAATGGGGATTGGATCTCCTTTATATTGTTTGCTCAGAATGTATTTGATAGCTCTCTTGTACTTAATGAAAGGGAGAATGGATGTTTCAGACAGAGAGGGGGGAGCTCTCACATCTCTCTGCACCATCTATAAATTCCAGCACTAAGGGGCAGAGCAGGTTTATACAGAAGATGAGGTAGTGACAGGCTTTGACATCCAGAGCCAGTTCTTCACTTTGTCTCTCCGCTTTCTCTAGCTCCTGCCCCAGACAAATGATAAATCTGCCCTCAATTCTTACAGATCAGGCTTTAGGACTTTGAGGTCAGGGCAGGGCACAGGGACTGGTATGGATCCCCTCAGAGTTTCTCACCCATTCACTCCTCCCCTCCCCAAGTGCAGTCTTAGCATTTACAGGTTTATAGGATTGGGTGGGATTATGGAACTTGGGAAGCTAACCTCTTAGCCTTGGGAAATAAATTTCTGGGTAGGCATTTGTGAGAAGAATGAGTTCACATTTTTCATGCACCCTCCCTCTGAAATCACCTTCTAGCTTATTTGGTCTCCTGAGTCAGACCCCAGCTTTGCCTTTCTTTTATCCATCCTTACTGACCTGTGTCTGATCTCTTACTTGTCTAGCAATACCAAATTGTTATTGGCTTCTGAGGGATCTCCTCCTACCTCTCTAAGAGAGTAGGGGCTAGACTGTAGGAAAAAAAAAAATGATTCAATGCCCTCTGTTCCCCTTTTCCATTCTTTGAGGAGCCTCCTCTGTCTCCTTAGGTATACAGACCCTGATACCCAGGATCCCTTCCATTAGGAGTAAATGGACTGGCCTTATCCACTTCTTACCAGTCTTCCAGTCTCATGGCTGCTGCCTAGACTGTTGCTTATCTGAACACTCTCTTTTACACCTATAGTCACAACCTCCTTGCCTATTACCTACCCTATCCACCAGCCCCACTCAGTAAAGATGTCTCTTTATTGTAATTGATTCAGCCTCCTAAGTTTCCTCACTCTCTTTAACTCCTATTTGCTTAATCAAGACTAACTGCCTGGACTTTATGGTTGGCTCCTTTAGGGCTGCCTCCCCTTGCACTCTAGCTTTAGTTAAATACCTTGATTTTCACCTTGAACTGAACTCTTTTCTAGGATTGGAGGAAATTGCAGATGAAGTGAGAGTAAAAGGCTGGCTTGACCTACTAAAACTTCATGTTCTGGAACTTCTATTAAGCCCTTATTCCTCTCAGCCTGCTGCATTTCTAGCAAATATTCCATAGCAACTTGTATTTTCTACCTTCTCAAGGTCAATTTCATTCTACTCTTGCCTCTTGCAAAATTGAGAAGATCTAACACCTCAACTTCTTCCTTCTTCATTCACAATAACTGTTTCTACATTCACCTTGCCTTTCTCCCTTTCTTTCCCTGATGTCCCAGAATAAAAGGGAATCTTTTTCATGTTCCTTTATCCCTCTTTATCATTGTCAGTCTCTTCCACCAATAATTTCATATCATTTTAAAAACCACCTCCTCCAAAAAAGAAAGGCATACCATTAGTATATTTTCCTTGCTATCTGTTTTATCTACCACTCTAGTCATCTTTATTCATTTCCTTACTACATTTCTTTTCTTTATGGTATTGAGGATTGAACCCCCAGGGGTGCTCTAATCCTAAACTATATCCACAGATCTTTTTTTATTTTTGATATGGGATTTCACTAAGTTGCTCAGACTGGCTTTGAACTTGGTGATCCTCCTGCCTCAGCCTCATGAGTTGCTGAATTACAGGTGTGTGCCACTGCATGTGACTCACTGCCACATTTCTAGAAAGAGTACCATAATGCCTCTTTCTGCACCACAAAATCACTCCTTAATTCTCTGAATCTGGTTTCCTTCCTACTTAGAAGAACATACATTACCTCTTAAGCAAGACCCTTAATGATCTTTTCTCTACCTTTGTCCTTTTTGACCTCTATACTTCCCTTGACTCTCTTGCATGTCCTGTATACAATTTTTTAATAAAAACAATACTTAAAACTCTCACTATAACAATATAAAATTTTGAGAGAAGATATTCACCTGTACTTTCAAACCCTAGACAATCATTTTCATTTTTCCATGTTCCATACTTTGTCAGTTTGAATACATATGCATATATTATAGAAGTCTAATCCTAATTACATATCACTTAAAATTATGCTTTTAAAAACTGTTCATTGGGGCTGAGGATGTGGCTTAAATAATAACGCGCTCGCCTGGCATGCCTGTGGCCCAGGTTCAATCCTCAGCACCACATACAAAAAACAAAGATGTTGTGTGAGCTGAAAACTAAAAAAATAAATATTAAAAAAATTCTCTCTCTCTCTCTCTCTTTCTCTCTCTTTAAAAAAACTGTTCATTATAAATCTCTCCCTATTAGTATATCTTTCATATTTTATCATTTCAATGGCTACATAAAATTATCTCCTTCTATAAATTATATTTTATTTGACTATTCCTTTATTATGGGACATTTAGGTAACTCAAATTTTCTATGCTTTGAACATCTTAATGTGTGTGGCTTTTTTTTTCTTCTTCATCATTCTGTCTCTAGGACAAGTTCCCAGGAGTGGGATTACCATTCCAAAGAGTGTGAATGTTTTTATGGATCATGATTTTCAAAACGACTGCACAAATTTTCAACATTATGATGATATATGAGTGTGGCTCCCTTGCAATTCTAGCATCAGACTTTATAAGAAATCTTTTTGGATGGTTAAAATTAATTTGTTGATTTTTATTTCTTTGATTACTCATGGGCTTGAACACTTTCCCTTATGTTTACTATTTGTATCCTTGTACAATTTACATCTTAGTGGTATTCTTATATCTAAATGCAGTCTTTATTTAGTATACAGGTTAACCCTTTGTCATATTTGATATGAATATTATCCCATTTATTGTGATTTTAATTTTAGTTTCTTCTTTTAGCCCTTCAAATTAGAGTCTCTTTTCCTCCTGCCTTTCTTTCTCAGATTACTTCCTCTCTATCTCCTTTGCTGGTACCTCTTTCTCCTTTAGTACCTAAGTGAATAGAAATCTGCAGAGTCACAGAATTTTTTTTTGTACTGGGGATTGAACCCAGGGATGCTTTACCACTGAGTTATATCCCTGATCTTTTTTTTTTTTCCATTTTGGAACAAAGTCTCACTAAGCTGCCCAAGCTGGCCTAAAATTTGTGATCTTATTGCCTCAGCCTCCTGATTAACTGGGATTATGATATATATCACCATACCCTGTGCATTTGGGGATGTTTTAATGCCTTAACCCCATCATATTGTTGATTTTCTCTTGGGAGAAAGTATATGTAGGTGAATGAAATTCAGTTCACTTAGGCCTTGAGAATACCCCAGAGATCACATAGGGCCTACTTTTCAGTTGCGGAAACAGAATCAGGGAGATGACTTGCCCCTGACTTACTAAGTTAATGGCAGGGCAAAGACTAGACCCCAGGTCTTTTGATTCCCAGGGCTCCTTTCATTCCAACATGCCAACTCAGTTTTAAACCCAACCTTCCTTCCAAGATTCCCCTCTACATCTTTAGTAGCCCACTGGGCAGTTTCACTTAGATCTTTCATTGTTACTTCTAACCCAAGATATCAGGAATGAAACTACCTGAATTGGTTCTCCTACCTGTCTTGCTTATTTCTGCTCATAGCATCTTCTTTCTTCCAGTCATCTAAACTAGAAAAACTCCCAGGCAACCCCCACTCTTCTCTGTCCTTATCTCACCAGATTCTGACATTGTTTTCTTTAGTTTGCCTGTTGCTGTTGACCTTCTTTTATGGTTACAGTGCCACCTTTCTGATACTGGCTCTTATTTCCTTCTCCCTGACTGAATGTCATAGGTTTCTAACTGGTCCTTATCTCCAGTCTCTTTCTATACAAATGTATGCTATGCAACATATATTGCCAGATCAATCTGCTTAAACACTACTTTCAGCATTTCACTCTCTTACTCAAAACTATTTCTTAGTTTCCTATTATCAACATCCTTAAAGATTGATGGAGTAGACAAAGGGGAATGAAGGGAAGGGAGGAGAAATGGGATAAGGAAAGACAGTGGAATGAATCTGATCTAACTTCCTTGCACATACATAAATATACCACGGTGCATCTCACCATCATGTACATCTACAAGACACTAATTTAGAAAAACTATAAGTAAATGGCAGAAAAATTAGTAGAATAGAGAGGGAAGGGAAAGTGAGAGCGAGGAGGAGAAGGAAAGGGGAAATTCTGGGGACTGAATTAGAACAAATTTTATTCCAACAAATTATATTAGAACAAAATATATTCTATAATTATGACAAAATGAATCCTATTGTCATATACAACTAAAAAGAACCAATTAAAAAAAGGAAAAAATATTTTCAAGAGTTTTTTTCCAATCTTATTCCTCATTCTCCCTCACTACAATCTCCTCATTTATAGTAAACTCAATCTTTTATTTCTCTCTCCATACATATCTTGCACTTTCTCACCTCCTTACCTTGTTTTATCCTTTCCTCATACTAGAATTCCATCACTGTCTTCTCCAGCTGTCCTTTTCCTACCCAGTTTCCAAGGTCAGGCTTAAGTTTCACTCATTTTTTAATTCCTCTCTGCAGAATCTTACCAGTGGTGACCTTCCCAGTCATTCCTACTGTAATTATTGTCTGAATCAGTCATTTGGCATTTTTAACATCCTCTGGCATTACTTATACTGTTATCTTGTTATTTAAATCTTCATGTATGTTTGTCTTGAGTTCCCACTTATAAACTCCTTGAATGACTGTGATAGAAAGGGAAAGCATATGTGACAGAAGATAAGAAGACCTAAATTTAAGCCCTGATTCTCAAAGTGGGAATCAAGTATGTCACCTTGGATGAGTCATTCAAATTCTCTGAGCCACAATTTCATCATCTGTAAAATGAAGATCACAATCTTAACCTTAATTACTTCTATAAATTATGGCAAGGCTCTGCAAATCTGCAGAGCTAAGCAAATCTAAGTGGTTGTTATTGTATCATCCCATTTGCTTAAAAAATGGTGCTTGATAAATATTTTATAAATGATTACATGTCAGTAATTCAGTTTATTGTTGCTTCTCCTGGGTATATTTCCACTTTAGAATGCTTCAGTAAACTCAAGGAATTGAGGACTTAGAGGTACTTTAGGAGCAGTGGGACTGAGGAAGGCTTTGGAAAGATGTTTTGAAAGCAATTAGTCCTATTCAGCACCTCTTATATCCCACTGTAAGGACTATTTACTATCTGACCAGTTTGTAAAGGCTAATCTGGATGGTGGTGGGGAGAGGTGGCATATCCGAACTTTCATTTTTCTCATATTTTCTATTCATTCATCCTACAATCTACAGATGGTTAGGCAAAGTTATTTGATTTCTCTGAGCTTAAGTTTCCTCACTGATAATCTTGTATTAGGAATATCTGCCTGACAGGACTATGGGGAAGAGTCAATAGAGCAATAAATGCAGAACCATCACTCACAGTCCCTGTGTGTGGAAACCCCTTTTATACTGTT